CTCCGGGGGTGCCTTCCAGCGCGGGGTCACAGGGCGGGGTCAGTCCGCTTTCCCGTGCCGAACCGGCGCGCAAACAGGGCGGCTTCAGGTTTCGCCGAGTCAGTGGGATTGGCCCTTTTGGACACGTGGGGAGGGGGGTTTCGGGGCCAAAGGAGTGTCTTAAAGCGTGCCGAGGCTTCCGTTTGGAAGCGGGCAATTGTCTGCGCAAAGCTAGAGACCCGTTTTAGCTTTAAGCCCCGCCCAAAGCCCCCCGCAGTGGGGGGGAACCCCCTGATGCTGATGACTTTCTCGCATTGTAAAGGGTTGGGTGTCCTCATGCAAAGCAGCGTTTCTCAACCTCAGCAACTGTAAGCGGGGTGGGCTTCAACTCCCAGAATGCCAGGGAGTTGCCCAGAGGGGGAAAGTTGCCCATGGGGGGGGGATGCCAAGATGGGACCAGCGCCATCGAAGACTCCTCCCCACCCCAGGCTGTACCCCCGTACAGCAGTGCTAGAAAAACCTACATGAAACCCAAACCGAACAAGTCACATCCTGGTTTGCGCTCGACACTGAGTTGTGCAATCCAGGCAGTAATCGAGGTGCTGTTCTCCATTCTGCACAATGGCTGGGCTTCAACTCCCCCCCCCAACTTCCTGCAGGATTTTGGGCAGAGAGGACTCCGGTTCACGAAGCTGCCCGAAGCGGGGAGATCCACCAGCTCCAGGAGCTTATCAGGAACGGCGCCTGCGTCAACCTGGTCACTTATGACTCCATCACGCCCCTGCACGAAGCCAGCCTGGGTGGCCAGACGCGGTGTGTGGAGATCCTCCTGGCCGCTGGAGCCCAGGTGCGCGGGGGGCGCGGGGTTGGGGAAGGCTGCGGACTAAAGCAGCTGGACAACTGATGCCAGCGAGAGTTCATTTCGCATCAGCCATCGTGGCGTTCAGGGTGCAGATTTCAGGTTTCAGCTTTGCTGCAGATGGGCCAGCTAGCCTTTGTAGTTGTTGACCATCTATGATACAGGCCTTGTCTCGCGTGGTCCTACTTTACAGGGTTGTTGTAAAGTTAGCAATAAGATACGTGCCCTGCTCTCCTCTCTAGGGCTGGGTTGGCACCACCCCTTGCATTTCACATGTGGCCAACTTCATTTTCACCTTTTGGTTAGTTTAGGGTTTGGTGTATCCTGCAACTCAAAGGAGGATTGATTGTTGAGCAAGGGGTCAGCTGCCTGGAGTAAGGGTATTGTCTGCATTCACTCCAGGAACTCCTGCCTTTAGCTTTCCAAGTCCCGGCGGGCTTTTCATCTTATGGGATTTTAGGTCTATCCACCCTTCTTCCTTTCCTAGGATCTGGGCCGCTTAATAAAAGGAACAGAGGGGGCCGAGTCCCATTTGAGGATAGGAGGGGCCCTGCAGAGTCCACTGCAGCCTGGGCTGCCCCAGGAAGTCTGCAGCTGGAAGTCCAGAATGTAGAAGCGAAGGATCTCTTTCCATATCTGAGCAATGGGCTTGCCTCCTTCAGCAGGACCGTACGATGACACAGAGATGCAGGACAGGTTGCAAGTCCCCATGGTTCAGTCTTCCAACACCAGTTATGTTCCTTAACCTGTGATCTGCCCCTTGGGATACCTGTCTTGGTTGGACCAATGAGATTGGGCAAAACTGGGCCTTTATTGCCAACTTTTGCAGGAATCCCTGTGTGCCACCTTCCCCAATGAGGCGCCCTCCAATGTCTTGGTTTAGGTTCCCATCATGGTGGTAGTCTAGCACATCCAGAAGAGAGCAGGTCGCAGAAGTTTTTCGAGTGCAGGGATTCAAACGTCAAACCCTAACCAAAGAGAGTTTATTTTCCCCACCTTTATCGAGCCATAGAATCCTAGGAGGTAAAGAATTGGAAGAGATCCTGAAGGTCAGGCAGACCGAAATCCAGTGTGTGAAACCTGATGAATGTTAAGCTTGATCTCAGTCCAATCCATTTGGGGTTCAATACATGATGCAAATCTTTAAAATGGCTTAATTCCATTGGTAGGTTAACAAACACAGGTACAGACAGTCCTCTACTTATGAACAGGTTATGTTCCGAGAGTAAACTAACCCTTTCCCACTTTCTCCCACCTTCTGGAACCTTCTAGGCTGGAATTGTGTGCAGGTTTGTTCATATCGGCGAAAGTTCATAACTCGAAAGTTTGTAAGTAGAGGACTGTCTGTACAAGGTTGAGTGTTGGATCCCTTTCTGCCACAGGTGGATGCCAGAAACATTGACGGGAGCACCCCTCTCTGCGATGCCTGCGCCTCCGGGAGCATCGACTGCGTGAAAGTCCTCCTGTCCCACGGAGCCAAGGTCAACCCGCCTTTGTACACGGCCTCTCCCCTCCATGAGGCCTGCTTAAATGGTGAGGCGGTTTTGGCAGGAGCCATGTAGAGCTTGATGCCACACCCGGAGTCACTCTCAAGATTGCTTGATGGTTTCTGCTCACCCAGAAGTCCATCTTACGACCATTCTGGATTCTGGAGGGTTCTGGATTCAGTTCAGATCATGTTTCCCGATGCATACCCCACATTGCCTCCATGCATCTCCACGTCTGGCACGATGAAATGCAGTAGTTATGGATTTCTGCACTATTTACAGTCCACGACCAAGTTACAAAATTTAAAATACAGCACACCATACATATGTGGCTATACATACATACATACATACATACATGAGAGGAAGAAACCCTATAAAATTAACAAATCATGGAAGGCACCAAACAGTTTTTTTTTTTTAATAGTATTTTATTGGAGTTTTAAAGTTACAAAGTTAG